GTTGTGCGTCGGCATTTGCTCTCAGTTGCATCACAGCACTTCATGTTACTCCTTTATGATGTTTTTATATATTTGAAGGGATAATTATCGTATCCATCTTTGTAACTGAACATCGTACATAACTGTGTATTAATGTAAAATATACATTTAAATTACTGCATAATTATAATATACTAATATCTATCTATCTATCTATATATCTATCTATCTATCTATCTATCTATCTATTATATATATATATATATATATATAATATATATATATATATATAATATATTATATATATATATATGTATATATAAAATATATTTTTTACCTTTTCGACATGCATCACTAACGGCTGAAAAGAGACTGACAATTCATTTACACTGCATCCATTTTGATAACATATGAATTAGATAATGAACTAATTAAACCACTGCTGACCTCGACCGCACTGGGCAAAGCTAAGCCATCTAAAGCACATTTGACTGACGTTGGTTTAGCTAGAGGTCCGTTTTTTTCCCAACCAGTTTAGTTGCAGCTCAGAATATTATGCTGTAGTACTGCTGAATTAACTGTAATTCAATTATCTAAAATTGGGCTAACTTTAGGTCATTAGGCCCTTCCGGTGTTAGAGTTTCACATTATCTTATTTGCTAAATACATTCCATTAAAAGTATATATGAAAAGGTAATTGTATAGTGTATAATCTGTCACTAGAATAGATAGATTAAATGTACTCTTTGTATACAGGAATACAAACAGAATAATTTGAGTTTTCTACTTAGATATTCCCTGTGCAGATTCGTACACCATTCCCCCCCCCCCCCCACACACACACACGCAACGACTCTTGTGGGGCATATCTGGGCATCAGCTGCTGACACTGACCACATGTTCGTTCCGCCGCCATCAGTCTTAAGAATGGCATTATATCTCGGGACTTCTTGCCTTCGTGAGATAAAACCTCTTCTTCGGGTTACACGCACTCCGGGAAATGAAAGCAAGATCTCTCAAGGACATCGAGAGTATGCTTGCGGCTGAAGCAAGCGGTCGGATATTTTGGTTTGGGATTGTCAGCAATGTTTCGATATATATATAATATTATATATATTATATATATATATATATATATATATATATATATATATATATATATATATATATATATATATATATAATATATATATATATATGTGTGTGTGTTGTGTGTGTGTGTGTGTGTGTGTGTGTGTGTGTGTGTGTGTGTGTGGTGTGTTGTCGTGTGTGTGTGTGTGTATGTGTGTGTGTGTGTGTGTGGTGTGTTGTTTATATACTCAGGAAAATCATTCGAATCAAACTTGGAATCAAGGATTTTTTTTTTAAAGATCGTCCCTCGTTGCCATGACACTGGTTTTTTTACATCCACCAAGGCAGCAAGAGATTTTTTTTTTCTTAGAATCATCGGGATCGGCGCTGTTCCCGTAAAAGCTTGCTCCTCTGTGCACGATCGGAAGAAAAAACTATATTAAATATTTTGTACTACAGAGAATATACATAATCCTCAAAGACGGTGTTTGACCAACATCTAAGTAGAAGAAGGAGGCATATCCGTGAAGAAACATGCGTAATATTTCGCGAGATGATGCTGTAGGGAGACCAGTTCCTCTCCGTTCCGACTTTAACCCCTGCGTACTGACGTCAGCAACTGGAATCTCTCACAGCTGAGCGTGGCTGAGAAGGGGCGACAAAGGCAGGAGACTCAGCTCTCAACCATTGCAAAGACAGCGCTCTACCGCTGAGCTCTGCCTCCTCTTTATGATAGCCATACAGGTCTCTTAGTAAAGGACTCGCGAGTACCATTGCAAGCTGTTTCAGTGAGGTCAATGGACCAGAGTGACTGCAAGAACACAGGGAGAAAAGGAGCGCAAGATAAGATGACCATTTAAGGAACGTCTCTCAAGGGAAGGGAGGAAAGTTGAGTCCGAAGTAGTGTAGTTCAATAGGCGTTCTGCGTAGCTTATTGTTCAGCCGAACTTCCCTACCTCTGCATCAAAAACAAAGGGAAAATAAATATTAGCACGTCTGTTAGTTACGGCTTAAAATACCTGTTACAGCTTGTGGTAATTGGCACTGGCACTGAGCCATAGTCGTAGTACATTCTCGTTGTGTGGTTAGGGGTTGCTATGGTTATAACTGATGAAGGGAAAAGCCCGAGGGAGGCAAAGTTTCCACACAAGAATGGTTTCACAAGAGCGTGCGTCGTGCATCATCATTAGGCCAGTGGCAAGGTGTATTCGACAAAATCCCTTTTCACTGAACAATAAGCAACGAAAAAATATACATAACGCGTAAAAAAATACACAGAAAGGAGACCAAATCTGAAAAAAAAGAAGAAAAAATACACTTCTATCTGAAGCTTCATTGCCGAGGAAAAAAAAATATTTTCATTTCCACTCGGTAATGGAGATATCATTATCTTTCTCGTCGGAAAAAAAGGCGAAAGTTTGTAATCTGATTACTCTAGGCTGAGAGAGCTTCCCGCAAGGTCTCGCCAAGGAGAACTTCGGTGTCTGCGGCCTCTCGGCGGTGCGGCCGGCGCGCGGGCTTGGAGGAAGATATATAAAGATATATGTATATACTACATACATACATACATATAATATATATATAATATATATATATATATATATATATATATTATATATATATATATATATATATATATATATATAGAGAGAGAGAGAGAGAGAGAGAGAGAGAGAGAGAGAGAGAGAGAGAGAGAGAGAGAGAGAGAGAGAGAGAGAGAGAGAGAGAGAGAGAGAGAGACACAGAGGAGAGAGAGAGAGAGAGAGAGAGAGACAGAGAGAGACAGAGAGAGAGAGAAATTTCTGTTCCTCCTTTTATGCATATATATATAATTTTTTTTCTGAGGCATCACTATGCGATGCATGCAATATCATATTGAAAAATAAATGAATAGTATTGGAATTGGAAAGACTCTCGTGTTTTTTTTTTTTTTTTTTTTTTTCAGTAGTATTACGACGCGGGAGGCACATGCCGTATCACAGAAAAAAGACATAATCGATAGAAAATAATTAAAGCAAACTCTCCCATGTAGATGCTCGTTTTCTGTTTGTTTGCGCGTATACTGCAATAAAAAAAAAAACAGCAAGAACAATAATAATGATAATGACAACAATACTAAATCTATAGCTAGTAGTTCTAGTAATAATAATTAGGCTAATTATGTTATCATTATTGTTGCTGTTGTTGTTCTTGTTATTATCATTATTATCATGGTTTTATCTGTATTATTTATAAAAAACAAAAAAAAAAAAAAAAACAGAGAGGTGAGTTAAAGCTTCTCTCTTGCTTAATCCTTTCTCTTCGTTGTTTGTTTGTTTTATTTTCAGAAAATAAGTATAAGTCTGCATTTACATATAGCGATTAAAGGATTTGTTATCATAAAACATTAAAATGAATGTACAGATAATTTTGAACTATGTTCATGAGTGAATTAATAGTTTACTTACTTTTTTATTTTATTTGTTATCTGTCTATTTGTGTTTAGAGCAATCTGTCATTTTATGTCTGTCTCTCCCGACTCTCTCTCTCTCTCTCTCTCTCCTCTCTCTCTCTCTCTCTCTCTCTCTCTCTCTCCTCTCTCTCCTCTCTCTCTCTCTCTCTCTCTCTCCCCCTCCCTTCCCCCCCCTCTCACTCTCTGGTCTCTCCCCCCCCTCACTCCCTCTCTCTCTCTCTCTCCCACTCAATAAAAAAAATGTCTTCGTAAATGTTTCGCAATCAAGAGTTCCACTGCAAAAAAAAAAAATATTCTCCGGAAAAACATTCTCCGAGAAACTAAAAATAGAAAGAAAAAAAAAAAAAAAAAAAAAAAAAAAAAAAAAAAAGAAAAAAAGATCCTCAACTCTCGCATTAAGGACGTCCCTGGGCCATCCTCCGGAACGTCACCCCCCCACCCCAGGCGCCCCCCCCCCCCCTGTGTTGACATCGGCCTGGACTTCGCCGGAATAAAAGCTCGACTAGGAAGCCCCGCCCACCCGGCCGCGACCAGCTGAGTGCACCTGGGAGGCCAATCCCGGACGATCTTTCGAGAGTTAAGAACCAGAAAACTATCCCTTTCACTCCTCCATCTTCATTTGCTTAATGTAATGAGCAAACTTCAGCCTCGTGCGAGTGCGTCCGGGGACTCGCTAGCACTCGAGGCCCTTCCCTGCTTCGAGGGCGACCGTAACGCTCCTTCCAGGGCGTGGGCGCGGGCGCTCCGGGACTCGACGCCCAAGATAACACGGGCGCTGGGCCGGCGGGAGGAGGGGCTAACGGCGGGAAGTACGCGGAGATAAACTCCCTTTTTTCCTTCTCTTTCTTTTTTAGGGGGGGAACAGGAAAAAAATAATTTGTTTGTTTGTATTTTCTCCTTTTGTGATAGAGACTCCAGAAGCCAAAACCTTTTTTTTTTTTTTTTTTTCCGAAATACAAGACAGAACTTGTACCCGATGCGACGCTGCGCTTGATCGGGGGGGGGGGGGACGTTCAGATTAAGCGGAGATAATCGCTTTTCCATATTATATATATATATATATATATATATATATATATATATATATATATATATATATATATATATTATATATATATATATATATATATATATATATATATATATTATATATATATATATATATATATATATATATATATATATATATATATATATATATATATATATATATATATATATGTGGTGTGTGTGTGTGTGTGTGTGTGGTGTGTGTGTGTGTGTGTGTGTGTGTGTGTGTGTTTATACACAAAAATACACACACACACATGCACCAGAGAGACCCGATAAAAAGCCACATTTGCGTTATGAGAACATGTGAAATAACATTAAAGACACACGGAAATATACATCATTATAATGAAAATTAATAGTGAAGTACATTTCTTGTTTACCTAAATTATTCATTCATTTATCACCTTTTTGGAAACCCATTGGTGCTTAAATTATCCCCGACAAGATGCTGTATTTCCCAAGATCAACGTGAGTGGCACTAAGAATAAGCAAAAGTGAAAAACAGGAGAAAAATTGAGAGAGCAGATATCTCTTTATTTTCGTTTCTTTGTAATGATTCAGACATTAGAAAAGCAAGACTATGTTCGAAATTAAGAAATTAATCCGTGTTGGTACTAGCAGTATTTGAAGAATTGGCAATAGGTAATATTTAGAATAGATAGGCTAGTATGCAATAAGGCTTGAAGGCACACGATAGACTAGTATAGATAGACTAGTGTCTAATAAGGTTTCAATACAAGTGGTAGACTAGTATAGACAGACTAGTGTGTAATAATAATGATAATAATAATTTAGGGATTGATGTGACAGGCTCTTGTGACATCTGTCAAATTGTGGCTTGTCTGTCATATGATAGACTACTATGCAATAAGGTTTCAGTACATACGATTGCTTTTCAGAATGACGACAATACCAACCCAGAATTGAGAGCAAGTCGACATCTTTCAATGAATTACGCAAAAAAAAAAAAAAAAAAAAAAAAAAAAAATTGGAAATACACAAAAAGAAACCCACCTAAAGAGAACATTTAAGGTATGCTTTTCGCTTATCGAATTCTTATCCAGAAACCCAAGAAGTCCGAACATTTCCAAGTTGGAGTTATCTCGTTATCATAATGGGAATCGTGTGAATAACAAATGTAGAAAAAAAAAAAAAAACGTATGAATGCGAAGGAACATCTCCATAGCGAGAAAGAGATATATTTTCATCTGTTTTTTTTTTTTTTTTTTTTTTTTTTTTTTATACATTTGTCGCAACGACTGATGTTTAAGAATACAAACAAGTTCTTAAATGATGAATGAAATGATAAAAAGATGATAAAAGATGATAAGATGGTAAGTAGGATAGATAAGATTACAGATAAAATGATAAATCATATAATTGATAATGATGAAATAGATGAATGATGTGATATGATAAATTGATGAATAAGGTAATAAATAGTGTGATGATTAAGATGATAGATAAGATAATAAATAATGTGAAAATGAAGACGATAAATAATATAAGAAATGAAATGATAAGATGATAAACATGATGATGAAATGATTCGCAAGATAGTATAAAAAGCGCTAAAGATGATAAGTAAGATTCTAGATAAGATAAGATGGATAATAAGATGATGATCGAGATGCTAGAATGATAAAAAAGATGGTAGATAACATGATGAGAAGATAGTGAACGAGGTGATAAATCAGACGTTCAGAAGACTGAAAGAATCACCAAAGAAGCCCCAAGGAAGCCCCAGGAAGAGAAGCCAAAAGCCCCAAGGAAACCCCAAGGAAGCCAGGGAAGCCCCAAAGAAGCTCCAGGAAAGCCCCCCAAGGAAGCCCAGGGAAGGCCCAGGGAAGTCCTAAAGAAGCCTCAAAGAAGTACCAGAAAGCCCAAAGAAGCCCCAAAGAAACCCAAGGAAGCCCCAAAGAATCACAAAGAAAGCCCAAGAGCCCAAGGAAGCCCCAAGGAAGCCCCAAAGAAGTACCAAGCAAGAAGCCCCAAGAAGCCCCAAGGAAGCCCCAAAGAAGCCCAAGAAAGCCCCAAAGAAGCCCCAAAGAAGCCCCAAAGAAGCCCCAAGGAAGCCCCAAAGAAGCACCAAGGAAGCCCCAAAGAAGCCCCAAAGAAAAACCAAGGAAGCCCCAAAGAAGCCCCAAAGAAGCCCCAAGGAAGAGAAGAAAGCCCCAAAGAAGCCCAAAGAACACCAAGGAAGCCCCAAAGAAGCCCCAAAGAAAAAGAAAGCCCAAAGAAGCCCAAAGAACCCAAGAAGCCCAAAGGAAGCACCAAGGAAGCAAAGAAGCCCAAAGAAACCCAAGGAAGCACCAAGGAAGCCCCGCCCCAAAGAACACCACAGGAAGCCCCAAAGAAGCCCAATTGAAGCCCAGAAGCCCCAAGGAAGCCCCTCAAACCCCCAAAGAAGCACTAAGGAAGCCCCAAGAAAACCCCAAAGAAGCCCAAGAAGCACCAAGAAATAGAGAAAAGCCCAAATTCCCCAAAAGAAAGCCCCAAAGAAGCCAAAGAAACCCCAAGGCCCCAAGGAAGCCCCCAAAGAACACCTTTCTTTCGTAG